CGCCAAATTAAAACGAACGCTAACCAATCACCTACAGGCCATCTTTGGTTTCTCCATCATCAAAGCAATGAGTAAAGCACTCCCCTCCACGGGTGTCTTGGGAATATTTGGAGGTCACTTTGGCCCCAAGGAAAACTGCACGGTCCAAACCGCCGCCACATCAGCCGGTGGACTTGGTATCCTCTTCGTCTCGGCCGTTCCGGCCATGTACCGACTCGGTCTCCTCTCTCCCAACCCCAAGTCCGATTTCGGAAGGTGGGCCTCCGAGTCCCTCTCTCTTTATACCTATACTTACGTCTACTTGTAGATTGATCGCGTTAACTGTCGCGTGTGCCTACTTTGGCGTGTTCTTCGTCATTCCCCTCCGCACCTACTTTATCATCCGCCAACGCCTCGTCTTCCCCACCCCCACCGCAACCGCCTTCACAATCCGCTCTCTCCACTCTGGTCCAGCCGGTGAAGCCATCGCACGCTTAAAAGCGCGCTGTCTCGCCTTGACCCTCTTTGGCTGTTTCTGCTGGAAGACCCTCAACGGATTCATCCCCGGTATCTTTTTGGACTGGCACATTGGGTGGACGCTCTACAGGCTCGGATGGACCGAAGCTATCAAGCTCGAAAACTATGGCTGGATTCTCGAGTTTACCCCCGCTTTCTTTGGTGCGGGTATGTTGTCGGGTATTAATGCCAGTTGGAGCTTTTTGGGTGGGAGTATACTTGCGTGGGCCATCATTGCTCCTTCGATCGTCAAGACGGGCTTGGCTGTGGGCGTTGAGATCGACCCTGATAATGCACCCGGGTACTATTCGTACTACAGTATGAGATTTACCGCCGAGGAAGAGGGAGCAGCACGTCCTTTGCCTTCACCCCGTTACTGGTTGCTCTGGCCCGGTGTCCTTCTCATGGTCGTCTTTTCTTTCGTGGAGGCAAGTGTATACTACAATTCTCAGCTCTGTATGCTAACGATGTCGCCCTGCAGATTGCCATGTCGAGTCGTCACCACTTTTGGCAAGGCCTCAAGGGCACTCGTCACCTCGGTGCCTCGTTCAAGCGCATCTTTGTCAGGGACCCCGACTATGTACCCGAGGAGGACCTCGACCCCGCTCCCCTCGAAGATCGCGTCAAGACATGGTGGTGGGTCGTGGGCATGTTCCTCTCCCTCGTCGTCTCGTGTGCCCTCATGGGCACCCAATTCCACATCGGAGTGTAAGCATTCATTTATTGATTTAGTTGAAATGGTGCTAATAAATTTGATAGTGGAGAGACCATTTTGGCGCTCTTGCTTGGATTCATCTTCTCGTTCATTGGTGTGCAGTCTGCCGGTGATACCGATATCAACCCCGTCAGTACCTGCGCCAAAGCCTCCCAAATCGTATTCGGTGGTGTCTCCAAAGGTCAAAGGGTATGTATTTCCTTTCTCTATTATCAACTATCTATTGACCTTCTCTCAGATGGAAGTCAACCAAGCACAGTTGGTCAACTTGATCGCTGGTGCTCTCTCCGCTGGAGCAGCCGCTCAATCCACCGACATGACGGGCGACCTCAAGACCGGTCACCTCCTCCGTGCCAAACCCAAAAACCAATTCGCCGCCCAACTCTTTGGCACGACCATCGCCATCTTCCTCTCCACCGGCCTCTTTGTCCTCTTCACGCAAGCTTCTCCATGTATTCTTACCGGTGATACCCCTTGCACATACGGCGCGCCCAGTATCGCAGCTTGGGCCGCCGTCGCATTTGCTGTTACTGCCCCATCGTTACCTGTCCCCGCAAGCTCGGGGTACACCGCGATCGGATTGAGCGTGTTCGCCGCTATCGCAGTCGTCGTCAAGCACCTCTGGGTACCCCAAAAGCACTGGCACTGGTTCCCCAACTGGAACGCTGTCGGTCTCGCATTCGTCGTCCCCCAACTCCAATACTCGATCGCAATGGGCTTTGGCTCTGTATTCGCCTACCTTTGGTTCAAGAAGAACCCAAAGCAGTACGACATGTATGGATTCGCAGTGTCCGCGGGTATGTTGGCGGGTGAAGGTTTGGGTGGTGTATTCCAGGCGTTGTTGTCCGTCGCGGGTGCGCTCAGGCCTGAGCATGGGATCACGGTTGGGTGTCCGTTGAATGAGTACTGCAATTAGGTTCGCGTTGCCTCGTGCTCTTCTTTGGGTGTAAACCTTTGTATAACATTAGTGGAAATGTAACCCATTACACAACTTTATCTATTCTGCGAGATTTAAGAAATTGTGATCAAGGTGATGCGCCGACATACACATACACCTAGTGCTGTGAAGGTATCGGCATATCCCATATCATTCTCTCATCACTCATTGAATCGCTTCGCACTTCAAACCTCCAGCCCTTTGAAAAGACCCAAATGTCGCAAGGACCCAATGGCTCGTATGACCTCTTGAAAACGTATATCCGACACAGCTTGGGAAATACACAGGAAAGCTTATCCAAGCCACAACAAAAATCGAAAGTGTATCGACCGCATTCGGTACAATTCGAGCCGACGTTTACTTCGACCGATGCGAGTCGTTCTAGGCCCGCAAGTGGGCTAAGAATAACATATAGTCCCTCGCCTTGGTCCTAGAAAAGGGTCAGTTGAGCTCTCTCTTTACATCATACTCTTACCAAGCAAGTATTAGTACCAGGTCTCAACCTCAACACGCCCAGGTGCTGGAGCTGCCGAAACGACAAGGGATTCTTCTCAATAGTCTTGAACAAAACTCTGAGCGTATCCTGATGTTGGATGCTGACGTGTGTCAGGTGGTGGCGCCTGTACACCAAGTCTTGGTGCTTGGGTACCATTTCGACTCGATAGGTGTTGGTCGAACTGATTCGCTGAATAGGTCGATGCTGTAGTAAAAGGTCATCCAACTTGCTTCCTTCATAATATAGGCTTTGTAACTTCGGCAAGATATTCCTGTTGGAGAAAGACGCCTTTAGGTATTCAGGGGTGATGTATAGACCCCGAACACACCATCTCAAGGTGGTCACAGTGGCCATACATGGCGCCCCAAAGTATTTCACCAGTTGCTTCTGGTCCATGAAGGAGCAGGAGCAGCTAAACTTGACCTCTTGTAACATCTTGGTCTGGAGGGTAGCAAAGTACTGGTGTCGCTCGTAGCGGTGCTCGTCGTACAGTTTTGTTTCGCAAAGGCAGCAGTTTAATCGCAATTCCTTGAGGTTGAGGAGGCTAGGTAATGTTGCTTGGAGGGTCTCGTCCAGTTCGTCACATGAACAGCGAGAAAGACGCTTTGCCGAGTCATGTCCGATGGAGGACTGGCAGTATACCACAGAACCAGATACAACTGACCAGCGCTCAAGCCGGAGGCAGAGGGTATTGATGAGAAACTCGAACTGGGAGTGGACTAGGGCAGAACGAATGCTCATCCTCTTGGCCTGTTCAGTGTATATAAAGTGGCGCTCGTACAATTGGGGTCCAGCAATCGACTGAAGAAACTTTGACGTTTGACAGAGGCGAGACAGGTCTGCTTCTTCTCCGACAAAGTCAATGATTGCAATCCATAGCTCGACTGGCAACTGCGCATGTCTGGTGGTTGGCGCCAGAGTCGGTTCAGTTGGGTCATTCCCTACCATCCGTCAATCTATAAGATTTCAAGGTGTACGGGATAGATACCTCTCTTTAGGAGAGAAGGTTGGAAATATTTCTCGCCGCTTGACATAATGCCGAGTGGGAAGTCGTAGGGTCCAAGTTCCGCGCGGGGGTGGCCTTGTAACAGGTGAACTTCTGCATACCTGATAATTGGAATACGGTACTGGAGGAATATCTAATGCAGATACCTCGCCACGATTTTGCTTTCGGATATCTTGTTATTAAGAATGGATACATTACACATAGGTAATAAGTATATAGAATCTTACATAATACTCCGAGTAAAGGTAGATATCAACTTCACAAGTCCAATCTAGTCGATAGGTCGAGTGTTATGAGTGTGGTGGCCAATCCCGTATCATCATTCCTTCGTCC